AAAATCATCGAACCTCCTCTGACCCCCAAAAAATTTGCCGATTCAAGAACCTCTTCCTAGAACGCTGGTTCGAGGAGGAGGTTCTAGAATCGGCGAATCTATACTACTCCCCAAGGGTTACCGGCTTATCTCGCTGTTGCCAGTTTTCATTAATTTTTGTTAAAGTGGATTCGGTGTTCATCGTAAGTATTAATTCAATAAATCTCATAGAAACGATGAAAATTCTTTATTTAGATTTGTTTCAGTGCGACATGTTTCGATTTAACAATCTTCTTCAGGCACGACTGAGAAACACATAAATACATTGCATTATATAATAAATCGTTCCGCGAGAGGTAAGTATATAAAACATAATTATAATAAAAATTCTTTTTTAATTTTACCGTCAATCTGTTGAAATGTACAGATGTTCTATTTTGATGGATTTCCTTAAAAACATTGTACCAGTAGGGGAAGTAGACCAAAAATATTTTTCCTTATCCAACTCAAGTCAATTATTTGGAGTAATTACGGTTTAAAGGGATTTTTTTATATAAATATGCGGGTTTATTTAGGTTTCAATAGTTAATTGTATGTTTATAGGGTTCATAAAAGAAATAAATTGTTAGGGAATGTAAAGGGGATTGTTAAAAATTCTGAAATAAGACATCGAATCAGTACAGAAAATTGAGAGGAAAATGGCGTCTTACTTTCATCGTTAAATTTAGATCACGTGTTAAAATTTATTTAATACAAAAGAGGAGGTGAATCGTCTGAAAGAACAAGATATTTCATCGATTAAAAGAAGAAGGGGTAGAATTTATTATGTGAACTTACGTTATTGGGAAAGAAAAATCTGTGATCTTCGTAATCAATTAAACAAATCCAAAATTTAAGTCACAACAGGTGGTTCATTGCGTGATTGAGGTTGGACTGAGGGCTTGATGTAGAATGCAGAAATGTATTATGGTCCACTTGGGGCATGCGCATTGCATAGGCAGGGAGATGACAATTGTTTGAAATTGAAAATTGGCTTTTATTTGAAAAAGTTTTCCTTGAAGATGAGGGAATATTAGGTCAGGGAACAAAAAAGGGAGAGAGAATCTTTTTTTAAAAAATTAGCTGTTGATGATTAGGTTATTACTCAAATTATATGAATTGAAGGAAATTTCTATATGGGTTGAGGTCTGAAGTGTCATTGAGTAGATTTTTGTCTTTAAATTTGTGAATGTAAAATTCTTCTAATAGGTTCATTTCGTTAGATTTTTTGACATTTTTTAGTAGTTTAATGTTTTCAAATGGGATTTCATGTTTGCTTTGCTTGACGTGCTTGTAAACTGCGGAAGTTTTTTTGGTCATATGTTCCTTATATCGTATCTTAATATTACGGCCTGTTTGTCCCACATAGATCCCATCACATCCCGTGCATTCTATTTTATAGACACCACTCTGTTCGTTTTGATTTATCTTTGATTTATTGTTCATGAGTTGAAGAACTGGCTTACAATTATTGGAGATAAAGGCGGGGCATATGTTGAACTCCTAAGGTGAGAATAAGGTTACTATCTTTGATTTTATTTTTAAGGGCTCTAAACTTAGTTTTAAATTCATTATTGTTTGTTTGAGCGGAGTGGTTTACATTACTTCTATTATATCTACCTAGGTTCTTATGATTGTTGACACTCTCAATCAAGTTCCCATTCTCCTTAAAGATTTGTTTTATGTTGTTATTAAACATTAGTTGGCTTTCTAATTTTATAGCCAGATAGACAGGTTTTATTTTTTCTGGTAAAGAGAATTTATGTCCTAGATTGAGAATATCAACATCATCCTCAGACAATTCGACAGTACTTAGGTTTGTATATCTAGGTGCGAAAGTTATATTATTAGTATTCACTGAGCAATTAATGTTTATTTTAGGATTATCGATATCAAACTTTTTGATTGAAAGAAATTCAATTTCGTTATTTTTTACTGATTCGGTTGATGTTTTTTTATTGTTCGAACCTGTATTATTGTTGTTGTTCTTTTCTTGTGTGTTGTTGGATCCATAGGAGAATACAACTCGACAACGCCAGAGAAGAGAGATCAACCAATACCTCTACGGTGTCGGCAAGGTTTTCTATTGCGTCTTTTTTCCTTTTCCTTTTTGGTGGAGGAGTCCAAAGCACTTCGGATGCGGGTTCTGATGTTAATTGAGGTGGCGGATTTGCACAATTTTGTGAAGGTTGACATGATGGTTCATCTGGTGGTGGAAATGATACTTCATCAGGTGGTGGAAATAGTGGTTCAACTTCACAAGATATTGTTGACAAGGGAGACAATGATGACAAAGAAACTGTTGATGTGGAGGGTAAACTTTGTATACAAGAAGTGAAAGATGATGTTGTTGCTGCAATATCAACCAAATCATTGCCAAAAGAAACATCTATTTCAGAATTGGTAGTGGATATCGCTGTCGGTTTATATTGGATTGGCTTTCTGGATCTACAATATAATCACCTTATTATTAAGAATATCAATTTATGTAATTAAGTATTAAAAATAATGTAAAAAAAAGCTCATAAAATGTTCTTATTCGAATTTTATTTGTTATCATTGAAAAAATAATAAAAAAATTAACTTAACACAACAGTAACTTTTAATTATTTAAAAGTACCAAAAAATCGATGTGTTAATCAATTTTCTTCTTTTTATTGATTCAAAACAAATACAAATTGAAAAAACACACGAGGTTTTTTACATTATTTTTTAGTGTTTAATGCATCCATGTATTTGACTCGTTCCTTCCGACTAACCCAGTATAATAAATATTTAGTTACCTTCGTTTTATTACTGTAGATAAGAATGACAGACTTTTGTAATGTACCCATTTTGGTGTGGCTGCAGATCCGGATGGTAACTACCTTGAATATTTTCCATAATGTTGCCTTAAATTATTCTACCGCAGTTCACACTGTTTAGCTACAAATAAAAAAATAGTAATTATAATCTTAATAGTAATCGTTAAATTGTGAATATGTATTTACATTATTTACCTGTACATTTCATTCGACTTCCTATTTGCAACCAAATATTTTCTATCATTAACCCTTAACTAGTCCGGTGACTCATTTGTCGCACTAACAGTCAGGCGTAGTCTCCAGGACTACTTAACTTAATAGGTCAATAAGACTGCAAATGTGCAAATAAACTCAATATTTTGTTCATTACTGGATACTATAGATATTAGGAAACTTGTTTGCATAGAAATAAACTGAACTAAAGCAATATATAAAAAGAGTTTACCTAAATTATAATTTTTTCCGAAAAGTTAATTAAATCTAGTTTTATAGTAAGTACTTAATTATTATAAAACCTTAACAAACTTTCGTTTATATTATTAGTTATGTTAGGTATTAGACAAACTAAAAAATAAAGGATAAATAAATTTGACAAAAATATCATATTCCAGCAAGGGCCAAAGTTTTTTATTTTTCAGCGCAGTCATTGCAGACTGGTTTTGTACATTGTAGACAAACCGGCTTTTTGCAAGCAAGACACAAGTATTTTGTCATTCTATGTTTCTTTGAACGACACAAGTAGCAAATTTTATGTTTTTCTAGAATCAGATCATATGTCTTGGGTTCTTCTGCACCTGGGACTCCAAGTATTCTACCAATAGTACTGCGTAGTTCGCGTGGGATAACCGACATCGTCAACCGCCGTCTCATGTGATCCTCTACCAATTGCTTGGCTAGCTGCATTCCAAAAATACTTTTTTCTTTAATGGTTGGATTATCTCTATAACATTGGTGTAAGATATATGAATTGATCACAGAAATGTCTAGTAGGCGAAAAAAAATTGCTAAAGGCCATCTTCGAGTGCGACGACTTGAGGTGCTTTTCGAACATTTTTCGTCCAGAGAATCTACTCCGCCTTTATTTTCATTGTAGTAGGAAACTATTTCGGGCTTTTGTACTAATGGATCATCAAATCGTCTGTTATGCATGGACGATATTAGTATCGTGGCTTTTCCAATTTTACCAACATATGAAATCAACGTGCATTCTTTCCTGAATCCATACAGTGTTGAGTTAGCTGCTCTTTTCTTATTGGGTTGAAAAGATTGTGGTATTTCGGCCTTATTTTTTTTTAGTCAAATTATTTTTCCATAACAGATCAACTACTTGTATGGAAGAATACCAATTGTCAGCTGTAATATTACGATTGCTGTTAAAGATTGGTTTCGCTAAACGTAACACAGCTTGAGTAGGCTTTAGTAACCTCTTCTCTTCACCATTGAGACCAAAACTATCAGAATCTTTTCCCGTATAGATGTATGCGTTATATAGATAACTGTTTCGTGCGTCGGTAAGGCACTGTATTTTGAGGCCGTACTTTGCCGGTTTATTAGGTATGTACACTTTGAAGCGGCACCTTCCTCGGAAGCATTTCATCTATTGTAACAGACTGTCCAAGTCCATAAACATTTTGACAATTTTCTACAAATGTGTTGAATATAAATGAAATTGCTGCAGCCGGATCGTTCTTCTTCCGCTCTTCCCTGTCCTGAGAATTGTCGAATCGTATAGCCGTCAAAAGAACAGCAAATCTCTTCTTACTCATGACTGCTCTAAATATTTCTCTTCCACTTCCGTCCGTTGCGAATATACGGTCTATATTTTCATGACTCGAATTGAATATCGCCGTATATACTAGAAGCCCTAAAAATGCCTTCAGCTCAGTGATATCTGTGTCTGTTACATGATGTCTGGATTGTATAGAATATCTCTCACGAATTGAACTTAGTTTTTGGTTGGTGTGCTGTAGAATATGTTGAAACATTTTGTTATCGAAAAGCAAATTCCAGATTGGCAATGGATTCGCAGCATCATCGAGGTTACGTGCTTTTGATTTTAGAATCGGAATTTTTATTATAATATTATGCTTTCGGGTCCGAGATGAAGGCAAAACTTCCGACGTACACCATCTATACCGATTTTTGCCATATAAATACTTCTTGTTCACATTATCTACAATATTTACACTTTCATCTACGAAGTCCTCGCTAGCAGACAGTTCTGAATCGCTATCGTGCTCTAATTCAATTAGGTTGTCTTCCGATACGTTATCTATGTCGCTGTCGCCGCTGTCTGTAGTATTTTCGTACCATTTTAAAAGAGCTTTATCAAAATCAGGATCGTCACAAACCACTCGTTTTGAAGACCCGGCCATATTTCGGTAAATCTACCACTAACAAAAAAGTTACACAAATGGATCGACGTAGTCTGAGAGACTATTATAGATATCTTACCCGTTATAACTTTTAAGCCGATGTTACAATCACGGTACAAATTTGTATACTAATGATGCTCAGAGAGATGGGGGATTAGGCGGAAGGACAGGTTTGTACACGCTTTTAGTAACCGCTGAGAAACAAGTATTTCAATCGCGTAGTCTGCTGGACTACACCGGACCAGTTAAGGGTTGATCTGTCTTTATGATTTGGCGACCGTGGGTCGTATAGACAGCTATTAGCTTCTACTAACTCAATGAGCTTTGCATCAAACTGCTCCGTTGTCATTGTTTTAAACATAGCAATGAACAGTAGAAGTACTAACAATAACCACCCAACCCAACTCAACACACTCAACTTTATAACAAATGTCAGCTGTTCGCTGCCATATAGAAATATTTCATCGTCTGCGCATGCTCGGATTTAGTGGATGTAGCCGTAAGCGCCGTTAAGTTAAAAGTTCGCCAACTTTAGGTGTTACGGCTACATCGGCCGTAGCCTTAAGCGGTTCCCTAAACGGTGCTATTGAAACACATTGGTTTAACTTTTCTTACTGCTACGGCTACGGCTAAGGTTACGGCTATAGCCGTTAAGTTTGACATCCTAAACCCACCATTACTTATTCCAATTTGTTAAATTCATCTTTGTCGATGTTAAACAAATATTTTCCTCTTTACGCAGATCTTACCGCCACCTTTCTAATAATCTAATTGTTGTCAATCAGATAAATGTCCTGTATTTCAGGATATCTTTTCAATTTTGGCAATATAGAATCTTTCCCGTTTTTCCGTAGGAAACTTACATATAATACAGTCTCCCACATTTAGGTTAATATTTCGTGGCACATCCAAGTTTGTTAAATTATGTGTCTTAGATGATAGCGACTCGTCGATTTCTTGAAATTCTGGCTCATTAATGGATTGATCAAAGGAGGATGTAGATGGTATTGCCGACATACAATAATTTTCTTTGTCATTCTTATTTTCACTTAAATCTGATTGGTTTGAAGCTTGCACCTGTATCCAATTTTAGCTTTATGTTTTTATTATTAATTTGTGCATTCACACAACAATTTCATTTACAATTGTTTTTTCTGATTACTTTTATTAAATTTTAAGCTTTTAGTTTTATTGTTATTTTTACACCCTATTGCAAAATGATTAAGTTTTTACAAATATTACATGTCTTGCCATAAGCCGGACATCTCTTAAGGCGGTGTGACACATAAGAGTTACTCGTATAATAGTTACTGTTATAGGATTGTTTTCTTGCGAACTTTACTCGTACGATAAGTCAAAATAACAATGGCGCAATAACAATAATTTATAATGAATATCAGCGTCATTTAAGTCAACAACGCAAAATTAAAAAGACAAGAAAACGATCAGTTTGGGTAAATTCTTTTTTACAATTAAGAGACAACTTTTGTATCGAAAATAAATTGCTAACCGATTTACTTGTTGTTGGTGATGAAAAATGTAGTAATTTTCTACGGTTAAATTACGAAACTTTCATGGAATTACATGAAATGGTAAGTTATAATTACTCAGTAATAGTGAATCACTGACATAATTGCTTAAAGATTGAAGAAATAATTAAGAGGCAAAATACAAAATTTAGAGATTCAATTTCAACAAAGGTAAAGCTAGCCATCGTTTTGCGTTATTTAGCAACTGGAGATTCACAAATATTTTTGGAATACCTCAGTCGCGTGTCTAGAACTACAATTTCGAAGATGATACCTTTGGTATGCAATGCAATATATATGGTCTTAAAAGACACATATTTAAAGGTAAGAGTATAATGTAGTACACATTTGTTATGACGAATTTATTTTGAACACTAATTTAAATATACAATGTTACTTGAATCTATTGCCATTTGTAGTAGATCACCGCTATTTTCCTCAACAGGTGAATTAATGTAAGTTTCACTTATGTAGCTTAAATTGGATTGACGCCCTGATGATGGATTGTCGAGAGGACTACCAATAGTATCAGCTAATGTAGATTCTGCTGTTAGAATTTCAATTCTCTTTTCTGATAACATCTGTTGTATACGCATCTGCATATGTAGTGCTTCTTTTAAAGGCATATTGCGTAACTGTGAGGCAACACTTTTGCTAAATTCTGAAAATTCATCATCATTGGTAGCGCATAGTTTGTTTACAGCTTCTTTCAAGAACTCTCGATTTTCATCATGTTCATTTATTTTATATTTTTTGTTATAAGATGGTGAAGGGGTTGGAGTAATATTTGATACCCTCTTGTTTCCATTACTCGATACCTAGAAGAATGAAAATTATTACTATTTGCAGATATTTGCAAAAACTGTAGAAGAGTGGAAAAGAATATCAAATGATTTTAACACTCGATGGAATTTTCCACACATACTGGGTACGTTAGATGGTAAACATATTGCAATAATTGCACCTGCCAAACAAGGTTGCTACTATTTCAACTACAAAGGCTATCACAGTATTGTTTTATTGGCGCTAGTAGATGCACGATACATTTTCATATATATAGATGTTGGTTGTAATGGTCGAATATCTGATGGAGGTATATATAAAAACAGCACTCTTTATACAGAAATAAATATTGAAAACAATTCCTCCATTGACGAACTATAGAATCCTGCTTTCAACAGAAGTCCTATAACAGCGCAAATTTCAATCTCATTTGTGGGCCCAATGAATCACTGTTGGGAAGTGTATTTGGTTGATTTAGTTATTGTTTCTTCGTTAGTATAAGTCGTGATTTTTTTTATAATATCATCAGTAAAAAATAATGAAAAACATTCAAGTTCTGTCTTTACATTTTTTGCGCCTCCTTTTGGCCCAGGTAAGCGTAGGATTAAATTTCGCTTAGAGGTTCTCGAATATTTAGAGCTCAGAGGCTTGTTAGTCCACATCGTTTCCAGATCTTTTCCTAGAAAATATTCGGAATCAAAATCTTCGTCTTGTTCATTATCATTGTCGGAAGGTTCAAACATGTCTTCCACGTTGTTATCATTTTCTAAAATTTCATCTTCCGTTTCACTACATGAATCATTAAACTCATCTAAATTTTCTGAATCATCTTCGTCTATTTTTCGGCGAAACTCATCAAAAAAATTTTCATCTACATCCATCGGTTCCATTCTGCGTATAAATAAGCAGAAACAAAAATTGGACTAAGAAAAAAAATTAATTAAAAAAACTTACTCATAAGGTATGATGGGTCGCCCGTGACCCGGTTTCGTAATGTTCTGTGTTGAAGTTGGACCAATAACTAGTTTATCAGAGTTACCCGACAGTAAGATCGTAAGCGCATTGAAGA